ATCCGTAGGGTTGGTTAGGTCAAGGTCATTGTATGCTCCCACTACAATGGTAATTATCTAGACCCCCGAGCACCGGCATTGCCAATAACGATATGACCGATTGACCAGCAAAGGAAGGCCAATGCTTGGTCTTCGTGCGAGATCTCGTGTAGATAGGTAGGCTGACTTGCTGACCACCGGGCCAGGTGCACGCTTACACTAAGTACCTACACTACACTATCTAGATCCATGATGATACTGCGTAGGTAGATGAGTGTATGTATTCATGTGTACGAAGCATGTACCGACACCCTATCCAACTAACCTCTATGCACATATTCCGTACATGACCGGCACAGGTAGGTACATCAGTCTTGAACCCCAATTCATCTCTCCGATCTGTTGTAACCCTTGTCCTAGCTACCAGGTACCGTACCGGTAGATGCTTATCAAGGACGTGGTAACAATAAGCGAAGAACTTCATGGCTGTTCATGCTTACCACCTTGACACCAAATCCTTCTAAGTGCTCTTTGCACACAGACCAATTATCTACATCGACCGCTCTCGTGCATTCCTCAACGAGGTAAGTCCGAAATCCTTCTCTGGAAGCATCTTCCGCGCAGCTCTTGACACAGTAGTCGGCCGCCAGTCCCACCACATAGACGTCCGTAACGTCGTAATCGCGCAGCAGGGAAGCCAGTCCGCTGTCGCTAACTCGGGGGGCTTTCAACGGGTCATAGAATGGACTGTACATTTCGACACGGGCGTCCGTGCCCTTCTCGATAATCTCGTCCAGTTTACTGCCGTCTAGCTCCGGCACCAGCTCCGCCCCCGCCGTGCCCTGAACACAATGCACCGGCCACAATCGCGACGAGTAGCTTTCCGCCGCATTATATGGGTTCACAACAGTCACGAAGTCCGTGAACGCCTGCTTTCCTGCGTGGTTCTCTGCGAAGGAGATGTGATCTTGTGGGTGCCAGTCTTTCGTCGCGACCTTGAGGACAAACGGCAGTGCGAGCAGCCGGTTTATAGGGGCTACGACATCGCGCCCCTCAGGGACTGCGAGGGCACCGTTCTTGTCTCCCACTTTTGTTAGCCGGACCTCTTTTTCCTTAGGCAGTCTACGGCCATTTCCTAGTCTAGGGTCGGTGGCCAAGGACTGCAGACGTATAAGTAGATAAACGGGGTGCGCACCGGCGGGCAAAAGTCTTCCTGCACATCAACCACTATCAATGCGGGTTTGAAATCGCTCGTCATTTCGATGCTGATCATCAAGCAGGTGATCGAAATCTGGCAAATTCGTGGGTGGCAAGTTTCAAATTTTCACAATAGCAGACAGGAATTGGCTGAGTAATCACTCATCCTCCAGGGAAACGTGCAGCATGCAGCAGCCGATATTGGATCTTACCGGTACCTACTCTAGGCAAATCCGTATAAGTACGGACTAACGTATAGATATATACGTACCTGCAAGCGATCTTGCCCCTTCTAGGTTGTGGCTAATAATCAGTCAACTACCTAACAGAGAAAGTTTATCAACCTCGCCTCAACAAGCGCTGCATATGCCCGAGACCATGGACAAACGGAAAGCCATTGACGGCCGATGGGGAGTTTATGTAAAGAATTTTCGCTCGCATTATAATCTCGACCCTGTGCCTCGGGCTTCGAATCTCATGAGTCAAGATTCTTTTTATCAATCTAGATGTATCTATTATCTAGACTACCTAGGTATGAGCGGATACGGATTCCGGTGTAATGGTCAAAGGATGGCGTGGTTCTAAATCCGTGCACTACTTACGGACCCGTACGGACGTATATTTTACCTAGTTAGAGCAATCCAATCCATTCCCATCCGCCGATCGAAAGGCCACTCCGTCTTAGCATTCCTTACTTCTTCTGCATACCCGCGAAATCTAGGTACCAACCCGAATTGCCACCCCGCACTCGTAGCAATGACGTGCACCATCTTATCGGCAGACAAAATAAAAACCGATCTCAACTCCGACCTCAACTCCGACCTCACATCTCACCTCCCCATTAGGCGCGCTCCCTGATGAAGCTACCGATCTTCTCCGCCACCCCCTTCGCGCTCTCGTTGAAGCCAAGGATGTGTCCCATGAGCACTGTATCATGCGGCGCTCCTTTCTCGAAGTAGGTCTCGACCTCATTTCCCTCAACACCGCTCATCTCCCTAATCCACTCCACGCCGTCAACGGCGAGTATCTCGGCGTCGCCCAACGTTACGAGCATCGGAACGGGCGTCTTGAATGGGTGGCCTAGCGGCATTATATACGGGTGGTCCTCCATACCCTCCGGTATGTACGTCTTCGCGCCCCAGTTGCACAGCTCTGTGCCGAGGTAGTCGGTGTGGTAGTTGGGGTTGCTGGTGATGGTGATCGGGGGCCAGAGGTGCTTGGAGGGCGACACCCATGGCGCGACGATAGTGGCGCTCCGGGGCTGGGGAATGCCTTGCTCTTCGCCGAACTCAGCCAGGTATCGGAGGAGTGCGATGGCGAGGTTTCCACCCGCACTGTCGCCAGAGAGAGTGATCTTTGATGCCGGGATCCCGAGCGTGCGCACGAGGTACAGATAGCTCGTCAAAGCGTCCTGCAGCGCAGCGGGGAATGTGGCGGACGTCGGGCGAGCCGACAAGCGGTACTGGGGGACGAAAACGGTGTTGACCTTGCCGTTCTCGAGTAATTGGCCACAGAGGCCCTCACAGTCAGCAATGCGCCCATTGCTCAAGACGAACGCACCTCCGTGGATGTGCAGAACCATCGGCGGCGCATTGGCGGGGTCACTGGGCTTGCTCGGGTACCACGTTCCTCCGATGACAGCTGGCTCGACAGTCTCGTGCGCCAATGGTCCGCGGTACACGTCCTTCGGGAAAGGTTGGAGGACCTCCCATCTGTCCTTCTCCTTCCCGGGCGTCAGTGGCTGCGGGAGTGGCGTCTCAGTGCGACTAGCCATGTAGACAGCCTCGGTCAAGATCCGAACCATGATGGCTTGTCTGAAAGTCCACTACAACGTTCCATGTCAGCAAATTGTGATGCCCTACCACCAGGTAAGAGCTGCAAATATCTCCAGCGGAACATGCAAAGCTGTTAGAGCATGATTATGGCGCAAATTGGGACGCAACGCTCTTGCAATTGATCCGGTATATTTCTGATGGAAATGGGTCACTTACTGAGGGATGCTGCCTCGCGCGGCGGAAGAGAGAGTAGCTGAAGATCCATACCGGCAACCTGGCGACAATGGTTCCTGTGTAGAGGATCTTGTAGAACAGGCTCAGGACCGGATATGAAGCCAGAGACCGTCCAGGATACGTCACGGTAGGCATTTTGCAATCTGCTACCGTGAGATCGAATCGAGGTAGGTAGGAAGGTAGGAAGAAAGAAAAGCTCACTCGTAAAGATCCGTCTGATTTATGTGCGCTTTCACCTCGATCCAACCCTCTGCCAGAGAGAGATAGGCAGGCAAAAAGGCGAAAAAAAAAGAACAAACAATTGAACGCCAGGCCAGGGTCAAGGCCTTCGATCCAACTCAAATATCCCGGCTGGCTGGCTGACTGGCTGACTGGCTGGCTCAACCAAAACCCTACACAATGGACGAAGAGAAAACGACGAAAATTTGCTGATGCAGTTGCAGCCGACAATTATACCTACTGGTACTGCACGAAGGAGGCCCCGGTGAAGGATAGTACCGAGCTGAAAAGTGCGGCTAAAGCACGATGCGGTATGTAGTGTCATATACGGATCCGTACAGGAGGATACTATAAGTACTAAATCCGATCATGTACGAAATACCTACCTAGGTACAGATTACCTACACTACACTACGTATGTTGAATTGGCGACTTGTTTACCTGAGGCTACCTACTCAGTATAAATACGAAGTAGTGTAGGTATTCCGTGCATACATACATACGTCCGTACTTATACATACATGGGGATTGAGGTTGACGATCCACAAGCTATCAGCTCATGGTGCTGTCCCGGTAACGAATTCGAGTTAGGGCTCGCATCAATTTTTTTTTCGTGTGGACACGTCGAGCATCAAGGCGGCTACCTACATAGGTAGTAGTAGTGTATGTAGTGTACCTACGTCCGTATGTACGGACGTAATCCAGATATTTTTCACAATTTACACTCACTACCTACTCGTGCCATGCCCCAACTAAAGTTGATGGCACGAGTACTACCTACCTACCTACTGCTGCTTACTGCGTACACTAGGTAGGTAGATAGGTAGGTATAGGTATGTTATGCTTCATTCTGTACGGAATACCTACCTACCTACCACACACCGTACACCGTATTCCGTCATCCACGCAGTATGTAGGTACACTAGAGCTCGCGTACATAGTATGCACGCAAGTAGCGGAAGAGGGCTACCGTAGGTACTACATAGTAGGTAGATATATCGGATGCGACCTACGGACGTACTGTACTTCGTAACAAAAAATGATGTATGGATCTGGACTTTTTGTCCACACGACGGGATTACGTAGGCAGCCATATTCATGCCACACATGCCTCTCGGCACGTACCCGGCTCAAACCCCTGTTTTTCGTCTCTACACTTATCCCGGCCCCAAGAATGTTAGTACGGTACAAGAAGCTGAAGCCCGGACCAGAAACCCAGGACAAGTGATTGAGCCTTGTTTACATACTTTGTTTGGTACGCTAACATCTGAACCAGAAGTTGCGCACGGCTCGAAGTGCCAACCATGGCTTTTGTATCGTACTAATATTCTTGGGGCCGGGATAGGTAGGTGTACCGTAGCCCAAACCCAGACCACGCATCGGGAAAATTTAAGATCTGTTAGACGGTAACTACCTCTCTATCTACGGACGTACCAACCTACCTAACCTAAATACTAACTATCTACGTATAGTTACGGATTACCGTCCACAACAAAACACTGAAACCAGAAAAGAAAGCCGGCGAAAGGAAGTTAACTTAACCTAACTAAACATCGCATGGCTAAAAGAAAAAAAAACAAGGCTAAAACAAAAAACTGTTTCCGCCCGGGATTGAACCGGGGATCTTCTGTGATCAGACGGGGGGAATTGGATAAGTTAAATTCCCCATGCATGTAAGACAGACGCCCTAACCACTAGGCCACGAAAACTTGTTTTCAGGTGATTGGTGATGGGGTCTGCATTGGAGTTTATAGATAGTGTGGACGATTAATTCAACAGCAGCTTAGGTTAGAGAAACACCATCAGATACCTAGCATTGTACGAAATACGTCCATACGGAATACACTATTATGTACGGACGTAGGCATTTAGCGTATGCTCTATAGACGACGACGACGACGACGACGACGACGTCTTCGCATTTACCGGTACTCAGAATATAGAATCTCAACCAGCCAACCCCATCTATTCATAAAAGAATCTAACATATCCGTGCAGTGTAGTGTAGTGTAGTGTAGTGTAGAAACCACTCAAGCAACCCGCCAAGTCTCAATACCAAGCCCCGCAACCAAGACTCGTCTCCCCCCATCCTCCCCCACCATCTCCAGGTCCCCTGCGTCCGCGATACCACTGTACTGATTATCGAGCAAGAACATCCTCAGCACAGGAGACTGCCAGCCGACAAGTCGCCACGTCTTGATGCGCTGATCATTACTCGCCGTGACGATCACGGCGTCGCGGCCCCCGTTCTCGAACCGCAGTATCCCCAGGCCCGTTATTGCCGCCGCGTGCGCCTTGCGGATGATGAATTTGTTCCGAATCACGTACCGGCGTCGAGGGGCTTGTTGCGTGCCCGAGGTGGATATACCCGATGAGGACGAACTTATATGCTGCACTCCAATAGCATTGTCATCCCCACCTGTGACGACGAGATACGAAGTCCCGGTTTCTGTGACGATGCTGCGCATATCTAGGGACTTGGCAGTGCTCTGGTGGAGTTTCGTGGAAACAATGCCCTTCGATTTCTCAGTCCCGTCTTCAGGCGCCCGCATGTCTGCGAATATCGCTATTTGACCATCGGTAGCAGCTGTGAGCACTTGTGGATGGCATTGGTTTGTAAAACCCAGATGTCGAAGTTGTGTAAGGCAAGCGCCGGTATACGTCCGCCTACCCAGCAATCGGAACCCATACTGCGCCGAGTAGAGATAGCTCTGCATCGAGGAGTTTGAGAGTGCCATAGAGATACAGAAAATAGGCGGCTCCAATCTCGAATTTTCTGGTTCAATACTGATTTCCTTGGCTTCTTCGTCAATACCGGCATGACGTGGTACACGGTGCACGTCAAAGTCAGTAATTCGTAAATCGCCCCCTACAGAACGGTCGGGGAATACGGCCTCACAGACGATACCAAGCGGGGAGACATCGCTTTCCAGCGCCGTGATGCGCCAGGAAAAGAACTCTTCGTTACCGCCGCTACTGAAGAGATACTGATCTTTATACCACTTCAATTTCTGGATGCCCGTATTGTGCCTCTCCAGTACAAGAACGCAGCGCATCTCCTGCTCTCCCCTGTCCTTTCCGCGCCCTCTGCACAGCTCCCATATTCGAATCATGGTGTCTTCAGCGCCCGTGGCAACGTAATTCCCCGAGGCCGCCACAGCCTTGATCTCACGGCCATGACCCCCGATCTTCAATGCCAGATGCGGGGCGCGTATCTGCGAGAAGATCTTCATCTGTGACGCCTTGGTACAGGCGAACCTAAGACCCTCGGGATTGCCTCGGATTTGCGCATGGACGAACACACGATGCCCACCGCCGCAATCGAAGGTTGCAATCTCCTTCTGCTGCGTCGCGTTCCAGACTACAAAGTCCTTACCTCGGAACCCGCAGAGCATGAGGCTTTGCTTACCGTTTGGCTGGTCGAATAGCCATGACCCTTCGATCAGGGGTCCGAATGGTGGATTAGTTTCATGCAGTAAACAAACTCGGAAGTTACTCATTGCATTGCTGATTTCGTAGATTCTGTATTTCCCATCGCGAGCGGTCGTGAGAAAGTAAGGAGGCGAACTCTCGGATCGCCGTGGCAGTGGAAGAATGGACGTGACTTTGTCACCGATAGCGGCTTCTATTGTCAACAGAGGAGATCGCCCATCGTTCATAGCTAAGTCATAGATGGAAATGCACCCGTTTCTAGAACCAAGGACAAGGTAGTTGTGACACCACCCGGCAGACGTCACAATGAAGTCCACAGGCAATTTTACCTCTATTCGCTTTACTATGGATCGGTTCTGGTCAAGACGGAGAAGTTCCGCCCTCCTGCTTCCGAATACCATCACTAGAATCTCAATATACTCATCGGGCCGGTCGTGATCATGGCTCGTACGAGAAGAGGTATCCCGTGTATCGGAAAGACAAATGATTTCAACAATCTTTCGCTCTGCTTTGTGTATGGATCGAAGCGAACCGCCGTTAGCCTCGTCGTAGTAGAAAAGGAAAAGCTCGCCATTGGTAGCCCCAATGAAAGCTGTCGAAACTTTGGTCGAGCCTCGAAGAATGGTATATGATTGTATAGTCGTTCGAACTGTATCAGGTATTGATAGCTCGCTCCATTCGGTCTTGCTGCCGAAGCTGCCGATAAATATACGACCTGACCTTGTTGTAATGAGTAGCTTATTTTCTGTGATAAATGTAAAGCTTTGAAACATCTCTCTTCCATTTCCGTGCTTGAAAGTTGAGACTGATGGGGCGGTGCCCGGATTATGGTGCTGACAATATTCGATGAGGTTCTCTGGAGAGACTGTGATTTCTTCAACAGACCGCGGAGAACATTCGCTCTGCATCATCGCATCATCTGATGTCGACAATGCATGGGCGGAATCGTGGCTCATGAGCGATATTTTGCCATCTCCGCCGCCGCTAGCGATGAGAAGGCCATCTATACTGTCTATCATAGCGTGGGACCAAATGTGTTTTCCATTGTGGTTTGAAAAGGTCTCGATGTGAGTCAATTGAACCGGAGGATGATCAGAGTTGTTAATTGCCCCTATTGTGGATGCCCTGGAAGACAACTCCAGGCTTTCCAGTCCAAGATGCCATTTTTGTACAGTCGCATCTTCCCCAAACGAATAAACTTCAATCCCACCACTGGAAAGAAGGGTTTGGGTATGAATCTGAACTTGCCATATTCTGGACACATGGCCCATAACCATGGCAACACATTTCGAATGGCTATTGACTAGCCCAATCGGGTCGACAATGGAATCTCCAAATCCCGTCTGTCTGGCATCGGATATCTGTGTTTCGTACCCATGGTCTCCGCTCACATTGCCGTGGCGCCGTTCCGTGATGTCCCAAATTCGAATGGTTCGATCATCACTACAACTCGCAAGTAGCCTTACTGCTTCGCCGGAGCTCGTGAGAATTTCAGGCGAGATACAAACACCAAAAATAGAGCCTTGATGACCCGAGAACACAAAGAGCACCTCGCAGCCGCTTGTTTTCATATCCTGGAATCCGCCAGCCACATTGTCATCGACACCGGAGTGAAGATGACACTTCCACACCACGATCTCGCCAAACGCGGTGCCGGCCGCCACAAGGACGCAATCCCGCGCAGCCCAAAAGATATTTCCCGAGTACAAGATCGGCCGGGAAGGCGACCGCACCCGTTCTAAAACAATCGTCTCCCGATTGGCGGCTACGCGTCCTTCAATAACCTCATTATGTGCCGTGAGCAGAACGACGCGATCATCGTCGAAGGGCGAGACACGGCCATCGAAGATCCAATCAGGCGCGACAGCTCCAGGCGCAGAGTCCACTGAGCCGAACTCCTCGCAATGACTATTAACAGAACCAAGAATCAACGCCTCGGCAGAGAGTAATTTAATCGAATAGGTGCCCCAAACGAGGATCCGCGGAGCCTGTACACGAGCATTGGGGTTGCCATTGTCCTCAGCAGCAGGGGTCACGGAGACACCGTGGATTGGCTGGGTGTGAAAGACAGAGACGACACTGATCAGCTGCTTAGTTTCGACATTGAAGACCTTGATGAGTGTGTCTTCGCCCGCGAGTAGGTACAATCTCTCCCTGAAAGTCAGGAAAGTCAGTGCCGTGATAGGGTTGAGTATGTGCTCACGACGGAGCTGGCCGGGAGGTGTGACCTATATTTGACCCAAGGTTAATGATATGAGCCACGCCATTTGAAAAAGCCCCCCTTATTTTCATGTATGATGTGCGATTTTGTTGTCGGGTATCTTTCCGTGGTAGGAAGTTCTTTTCATGTGGTTGACCTTTTACATTTTGTGAGGCGCTTTTTGCGGGGCCTGCCTTGCTTCTTTTCTCGGGGAGGGAGGCGGGGCGGGGGGGTTTTCATGGGAGCGGGAAGTCTACTTGCCTCTTGAGACATTGCTTGAACGCCGTCATACCACTGCCATGAGCCAACCTGAGATAAACCCGGGCAAGTCCACGGCTAATATACCTAGATAGTGAGTGTATTTGTCAATTGCCCTAACTTTATGTTGATGGAGGAATTATTATTTCAAAAGTACAAATAATCTGGATCTTTAGTGTGTCCAACACTCAAGCACGTGATTAGCGCCATTGAAACTTTCTCGGTCTTCATGAAAGTATGTCGCAAATCATAAATGGTACAAAATAGGATCTCGGTCCGGAATATAATTAAATCTACGTAAGTCCTCTAGTATTCCTACTAGATATCATCATCAACCGACCCTTTTCTAAACCTAAGAAAAAGCATGAAGGTCTGTCATACCCCACACGTTATCCCCCCTCCAAACGCCATTAAATGCAGACCGAAAGGGGAAGAAGTTACAGCCTATCTATTCCCCGAAACCCATCCTGTTTACCATTGTGGATATTGCCTATACTCAGGAATGAGTGTAGGGTTCATAAGCGAGATCCGAACGAGGACCACCGCGATGAGGTGCACCGAAGTTGTAAGCATTGTAGCCTGAGTGGTGGTTCTCGTTGAGTGGGGCATAGGATGCGCCTGAAATGAGCTTCTCGGCATCGCTGTGTCTCTTGTAAGCACGGCTCTCTGGTTTGCAGCAGCAGACAGAGAATAGCCAGAAAAGGCTGGCGCCAATGGCAAAAGCGACTCCCAGCCAGAGAATAGCCAAAAAGGACGTGTTCACGGAGGCTTTGACATTGTATTGGTGGGCGGCGCCTAAAACAACGCCAGTAACGGTGG